TAGCAATTTCGAGTTTCACCACGATGCTGAAAGCGCAGATGATTTTCTGATCCTTGACTGAGCACACTAAACAATGCAGGATGCCAATTCTTCATGACCAATGCCTCTCATTACGCGTGCCGCAGAATCTTCACGGTAGAAAGCCTCCTCCTCAAGCACAAAAATTCATCGACTCAAGGTGATTAGCAAATTAACACTAGATTTTAACCCGTACAGTCACGCCATCAAATTTTAGGTTTTAATCTTAACCATTAATTTGTCATTCCAATCTTCGTAATCAGTTTCCTGATAGCACCTCAGCTTTCACTCATCACTGATGGAAGAAGGGTATTGCGTTGCACTGCATCATTACACGTCACCTAAGAATGAATGAAGGCTTTTGTTACTAGAGGAAACTTTAGCTGGTCTTTGCCGATTACACTCACACTCGTCAGACGGAAATGGTACCCTCAAGAAGGGCGTACGAAACAACTACAAATAACTAGCCTCTATGATGCGGACTGAAGATTAGTGTTCTGCAAACTGGGTATGCAATTTCTGTTGCGTCTGTCCGCACGTCTTATCGCAGTCACCACGTTTGAAGTTGTAAACAAGTATTCAGCAATTTTATATTCTTCTCACAGTATGTTTTTTGAACGTACAAATCCTGACTCATGTCGGTCCTATGCTTCATGTCATTAAGGTATCCTCTGATTGGCTCAGATTCCGGATGCAAGAATCACAAAATTTAATATGTATATTTTGATGACAAACTGCTAGCCAACAATTATTCTTCTCTCGCTTTAGCAAGAGATTTCTTGAGTTTGAAAGTTTGAAAAGTTCCGAGGATTACGTGTGTTCAGAACTTCATTCAGTTTTGGTGTCTAGAAGTAAGAAGAACAGTTATTAGCAAAGGAAAGGTCGAAATAATTTATTGAAAGATTAACGTTAGAGACGACACAGCACTGTTCATCATCATGGCGAACGCTAAGAGGAAGCAGAAAGTAATGCAGCAGATAGAAACATAAAAACTTAAGCGAAATCTTAACGCATGGATAAGTAAATCACGCTGCTAATGAGCATCTTGGCATAACTTCTAAATTACTATTTGAAAATTAATCTCCAGTCCGTCTAGAAGGCGAAAGAACCTGAAGAATTCCCAAATGGGCTTGAAACTATTGCGTCAGTAAATACTGTACTATACTTGGGATGTGTCTCTCCAAAATTCAGACAATGGCGCAAAATCGCCAAAGTTTTCTAAATTGCTTGATTGACTGCCATCCCCGAAGCCTGAAAGTATGCTGGCAGTCATACATCCCTATTGCCAACTTGATTATTATAGTTTCACTATCCGTCGATATATGCCAATCTAAGATCTAGCTGTGTCGAATGCACAGCAGATCCCGGTATTTTGAACATTTAAGCAAAACTCTCAAATTGCTGGACTGCTGAATGTCGTAAACATAATATTTAGGCGTAGTTTCTCGCTACTGACAGCGAGGAAGCGTAACGAGTTCATTGAAAGTAAAACAGGGCTGCTCGGCCAACAGCACGGCAGAAAACAGTTGCTCATGCAATAAAAGAGCACAGCCATTTCCGTTTCAAATAGCCCATTGAAAACTCCACC